AACCATTTTGAAGCGTACAATTCAGTGGCATTAAGAACATTCATAGAAGGGAGGTATAGCTCAGCAATAGAGTGGGTGCTTAGCATGCACAAGGTCCTGGATTCAATCCCCAGTACCTCAACTGAAATAAAGAAATAAATAAACCTAGTTAATCTCCCCAAAACCCAATCAATCAATCAATCAATTTTAATAAAGAACATTCATGAAACTGTGCAGTCATCCCCACTATGTAGTTCTAGAACTTTTTCATCATCCCAAAAAAACACCCAGACCCATTAATCAGCCATTCCCCACTCCCTTCTCCCAGCCCTGCTCCTGGCAACCAATAATTGTCTTTCTGTCTCTGTGGGTTTGTCTACAGTAGATTCTTCGTATCAATTGAGTCATCCAGTATGTGGCCTCTTATGACTGGCTTCTTTCACTTAGCGTAATGTGTTCGAGATTCAGCCATGTAGTAGCGTTCATCAACACTTCATTCCTTTTTTATGACTGAATAATATTCCATTGTATGGGTATACTGTATTCTGTTTATCCATTCATCTGTTCATGGACATTTGGGTTGTTTCTACCCTTTGGCTATTGTGAACATTACTGTTATGAACATTTGGTATGTATAAGGTTTTGTTTTAATGGCTACTTTCAGTTCTTTTGCATATATACCTAGGGTGTGTGTGTTATTATTTTATTATCTATATTTTAGAGCCTTAAAATACTTTTTTTCCTAAATAAAATAAATAAACTCTTTCAGGAATGAGGGTGATGACAAAGAAATTTCGGAGATCAGCATGTTGTGTGTGTGTGTGTGTGTGTGTGTGTGTGTGTGTAGGCGGGGCTGGGGGGTGGGAATCGTGTCTTGGGGGAGATTTGCGGCCTTGGATTGGGGCATCAAAGGCGGACAGCGTGGCAGAGAGAGGCCAGAGCTGCACGAGCAACTATGTCCGGCCAACTAGTCCAGGCTGAATGCTAGACGCTTTCCGAGTGTACTGAGAAGCCATTGAAAAGTGTTTAAGCTGGAGAGTCACATGATCCGATTAGTGTTTTAGAGAAATTCCTGTGGGACCCGCGTGGAGGCCGGGCCGGATGCAACGGGGAGACGGAGGCGGGGAGCATGGAGGAGGCGGGGCGCAGGTCCAGGTGAGAGAGGGGGTCTGAGCCTGGCGAGCCTCGGGCTGCTCAGGGGGCGGGACCTGGCGCTGATTGGCTCAGGGCCGCCCTCCTGGATGTCATTCCTACCTCATCCGCCTCCTCATTGGCTTTCCTACTTCCACCCTCGCGTTCAGTCTCTGGCACCCAGAAATCTCCTTACTCCTGCGCTGAACACCCTCCCGTGGTTCTCACCTCTCTCTCTTCACCCTCCTCACCTACACCCCCCACACCAGCCAGTCCCACCCTACCTGTCTGAACCCTGGAGCCTCCCTTAGCTGGTTCCTGTCTTTCTCCCTCTGCTTTGCTCTGCTCCAGCCACACTGACCTTTTTGCTTTTGGACTCAGGGCCTTTCCAAGGGCCGTTCACTGCCCGGAATGCCCTTCCCCTAGATTTCCGTGATGTTTCCCTTACTCCCCTCATTTCTTTCAGATCTCCTCAGAGATACCTGTCCTGTCCGCTTAGCTGAAATAGCCCTCCTGTCACCCTCGAGTCCTTGCTGTGCCTTAAATTTTCAGCATTGTACTCATCGCAAACAAACGTTAGGCTGCTTGTCGGTTACCCACTGATTGCCTTTTCCCCTTCCACTGGAATATAAACCACCTGCGGGCAGGGGCTGCTTCGCCTTTTTGCTTAACTGCCCTATCGTCAGCGAGTCTGGCTCGTCTACCTGTATTTGTGAGTGAATAGAGGGACGAGGGTGAGGAGGAGCGAGGCTTCAGGTTTTGGAGTGGGGGATGCCCCGAAGGGGAGAAGACTCTGGTGGGTGGAAGGTGCGGAGCGCAGGTGCGCGTGCAGTGCAGGTGGCTGGCTTCCCCCACCCCGCACGTCCGCGCGCCGGAGTCAGCCCCGCCCACAGAGGCGTGGGAGTCGCCGGCGTCTAGCGAGTAACTGATGCTCTGGAACAGTTGAGATCGCCCCCAGGGTAAAATCCTCCCCCACTGCCTCCGAACCTCAATTAGCACGTTGATGAAAATGGGGCCACGGTGTCACGAGTTGGAGAAGAGGCCCAGCCCACCGCCTGGCACTGGGGACCCTTGGGAAAGGCGATGAGTCCCTTTCGCTAAGGCCTCGGAAGGGAAAGGATTGGAGTGGAGGTGAGGTAGGCGGGAGGTCCCTATTCATTGTTCCACAGCCAGGCGGCCATCGCCATGACAACCTTGGCACCTTTCCAGGTCCTCGGCTCTGGAGGCTGAGCTAGTCTCCAAGTGGGCGGGTCTCGTCCCTGGGGGCGGTGCCTGTATCTAAGGAGGCGGGTCTTGCTTCTCCAAAGCAGGAGATATGTTTTTTACCCCAAAGAGGTGAGTCTGGCTCCCTCTTCCTGAATAGGAGTGGTCGAGTGGAGAGGACTATCTAAGGCTGCGCATTTCCAGGCGCGGGCCTGGGGCCTTTTCAAATGAACAATTTCAGATTTCTAGGCAAAAGATGTTTTCCATGAATGCCAAACTGTTACTTGTCTATCTCTCCCAGATATGCCTCCCTCCTTTAAATGTTTTCCCCTGTGAAATATAAGACGTATAGATTAAAAGGGCGAGACCCAGACGCACGATTTAACAAGTGATTATAAAATAGTCACCAGATTTAGAAACAGAATGCTGGCTGCCACCCCAGAGCCCATAGAAGGTCCCACCGTGTCCCATCCCGGGTTTAACCCTTCCAACCCCACTGTTCTGAGTTTTATGGGGGGAAAAAAGCTTTCTTGTGTTTAGACATGGTTCACTACCCACAGTGGATCCTGCACAATATTACAGTTCAGTTTTGCTTACTTTTTGTATGTTATAGAAACGGAGTGATACTCTGTGTATCTGGCTTCTTGTGTCTCGCTTCTTTGTTTTTTTTTTTTTTTAATTATTTTTATTTTTAATGGAGGTACTGGGGATTGAACCCAGGCCCTCAAGCATGCTAAGCATGTGCTCTACCACTGAGCTATTACACTCCCCCTGCCCCACTTCCTTATAACTTTCACTCACGTAGTTGTGTGTATCTGCACTCATTCTTTCTTGTTGCTATATAGAATTCCATGGCACACTGCAGCACCGTTTATTTATCCACTGTACTGTTGATGAATGTCTTAATCCGATCAGGCTGCTATAACAAAATATCACAGACTGGGTGGCTTATAAACAACAGAAATTTATTGCTTACAGTTCTGGCAGCTGGGAAGTCCAAGATCAAGATGGCAGCATGGTCACCTGGTGAGGGCCTTCTTCCTGGTTCATAGCCGGCATGCCTTCTGGCTCTGCCCTCACATGGTGGAAGGGGTGAGGGAGCTCTCTGGAGCCTCTTCCATAAAGGCACTAATCCCCCTCATGAGGGCTCCACCCTCAGGACTTAAGCACCTTCCAAAGGCTCCACCTCCAAACACCATCACATCGGGCATTAGGATTTCAACATATCAATTTCAGGGGGACATAAACATGCAGACTGTAGCAATGGACATTTCAGTTGTTCTGAGTTCAGGGTTGTACATTTTGCTGCTGTGAAGCTCTTCTATGTCACTCCTGGTGCAGGTCAACATGAGTGTCTCCAGGGTTCATGTCCATCAGTGGATGTATACACCTTTGGCCTTATTAGAGCATGCCGGTCTCCTAAGCATCTTATATTGAAGAAGCTCAAGATGGAAGTCCTGATCCCTCTAGCCTCTCCCCAGACCTTTTCTCTCTCCATTTGCTGGTCTTAATGCAAAGCATCACCACACAATCAGCTCCTCCTGATTCCTCCCTTTCCGTTAGACACACACACACACACACACACACACACACAGGCTTGCACATTCCGCCTCCAGAACTCATCTTGAGCCCACCTGTTTCTCTCCATCACTCTGCTCCAGGCCCCCACACCTCTCTCCTGGTGGACAGCAATAGCCTTCTGATGCATCTACTTGCCCCCTCCAGTTTTCTCTCCACTCAGCAGCCAGAGGGGCCCTTGTAAAGTGCAAGAGTGGTCACATCCCTTCCCACTGAAAATCTGGCTTGCCATTACCCAGAAAGCACAGTCAAAAGTCTATCATGGGCCTCCAGGGTCTGTAACCTGACCCCCTCATGCCTCTCCATCTCCTCACATCTCTCCCTCCTGTGCCCATCCACGTGTCCGCCTAGCCGCCCCCCTCTTCTGGTCCCAGGTCAAATGCCACCTCTGCAGAGAAGCCCCCTGCCAGCTCTGGACCACCCGATCTAAGGTGTCACAGCCCGGTCCCTCGTTTTCTTCACGCCCTTCCTCATTTCCTTCGCACAACTCATAACCATCCGAAATTACCTTCTTTGTTACTTTGATTACTCTTGTCTCCACCCCATCGCCCACACGCTAGAATATAAACTCCATGAGGAGTTATTTTGTTCACTGTTGCATTCTCAGAGGGGATTACAACGCCTGACACAAAATAGGCACTCAGTACAGGAATGCAATCTCGAGCGTAGGAGACAGTTTGGGGCCCGCACATTCTCAGATGGGCGGATCCTAATCTAGGGGTAGGAGGTAGCGACAAGGGTACCCGTCTGATTGCCTGGGAAACAGAGTCTAAGGGGCGGGGCCCTTTTCTAGGGGGAGGAAGTTGGCCGTAGGGAGACAGTTGGTTTTTAGAGGGCGTGTCCTATGGGACTGAGGGTTTCTAAAGGGTGTTTCTGGTTCTAGGGGGCATGTCCCTCTGTGGAGGTGGATCTTGTGTTAAAGGGACAGGGTTCCATTTAGATGCGATCTAAACCATCTCTGATATTAAAAGGATCATGCACTATCTAAAGGACTCGGAATTTCTCAGGAGGGAGGAAGAAAGGATCTTCTATTTAAGGGGCCTGTCCTAAGTCAGGGAGGGAGGAATCTCCACCTCCCCAGAGCCAAGGATCAGGACATGAGACGGCAGTGACTGACAGGAAGAGGTTTATTGGGGTCCAGGAGACGTTGGGGTGTGGGACAAAGGAGCGAGGTCGAGGCTCACAGGGCGAGCCCCCCTAACCAAATCCCCTTCCCCTTGGGGTTGGGAGGAACACAGAGACAAACTGACAGAGATGGAGAGAAAGACCAACAGGCGCTACAGAAGAGTGGGAGGGATACCCCAATATCCACCACTTCCCATTCACGAGTTCACAGGATGGGGAGTGATGTGGACCGGCCCACACGCTACAGGAAGGAAGGAGTGTCTGTGGTATTCACTCTAAGGAGGGTGAGGTGCAGGCCTGGGCCAGCCCACTCCAGTGGAGGAGGGGGCTACGTGTTTCTGGATCAGTCCATCCTACTGGGCGGGGGGATTTTGAACCAGCCTATTCTAGTTTTGGAGGGTGGGGAAGATCTTTAGGGTCGATCCATTACGCAGAATGGGAGGGAGACCTAATTGGGGAAGGGGACCTAATTGGGGAGGGGGGTTGAGGGCAGGGGGCAACTACCCTGGTCCTCTTTCAGCATAGAGAATGATGTGGGGGGAAAGGCAGATTCTGGCTGTATCTGTCATCTGGGGGCACCAGTGAGTGACTCTGGTGGGTAGCATTTGGAGGGGTTCCAGAGAAATCCAGGGACATGGTTCCCCCACATTCTCCAGATCAAGGTTGTTGGAATGATGGCTCTTAGGGAGAGGGGCAGTCTTCCCTTGGGGGAGGGGGTGCCCATCTTTTCTTATTAGGGCCCTTAATATGAGAAGTACGTGTGGACACCCATTTCTCATTCCTAGGTCCCCGGAGCTTAGGGGCCTATTGATTTGGGGGTGCCTAGCACGCACTCCAGGGGCCTCGAGTTCAGGAGTCTCTCCACAGATCTGGGATCCTCGAGCTGAGGGGTCTCTCCATTTATTTGCTGTTCCCCAGCTCAGGGGCCCATGTAGGTCTTTGTAGGTGGCCTCTGGATTTGGAGGGCCTGGGCCTCCCTCGTAGTCCCGAGGTCCCCTGGCCCGGGCCCTGAGCCCAGCCCCCAGGAGGGGTGGTCGTGTGGAAGGGTGCCTGGCCTGGCCACATCAGTCCATGCCCCGGTGCAGCTTCAGGTGCCTGGAGAGGTTGCTGAGGGTGATGAAGCCCTTGCCGCAGATGTGGCAGGGGAAGGGCCGCTCGGTGCCATGCAGCAGCCGGTGGCGCTTGAGGTAGCACTCGTGGCGGAAGAACTTGCCGCACTCCAGGCACGGAAACGGCTTCTCGCCCGTGTGCACCAGCACGTGCCGCTCCAGGTCTCGCGGCGAGCGGAACAGCTTCTCGCACTCGGAGCAGCCGAAGATCTTCTTGCTGCGGCCCGAGCCGGACGCAGGCTCTCCAG